GCTCAAAAGTATGTACCTAGGGATGTCCAGGATTGAAGGTTCTAGAAGGATATGATTGTTTTTCTAAATACCAGGGATTCCTATCATTGGAGGGCAGGACCAATGTCCTGAACTGAACTCCTTTGGCTGGCCAGCAGTTGCACACAGCAGCTTTTTGGTGTGCTACAGAATCCTTTTATACCTCATGGGACACTGTACTAACAACTTTGGCTGAAGGGACAGAGTGGAGACGGTCCAAGCCTAGTTGGTCTCTTTGTTCCATACTTAGGAGACAACATCTGGTCTGGAAATCTATATACTAGCTTATCTCATTACAACATTCTTGAGTCAACTCAGTATTCATAATGATCACTCACATGCTCTTCCTTGACCAAGTCTACGTCAGTGACTCTCCACTTCACGTGAACAACACAAATGATCACATTCTAGATTCTGATCAACAGGATAGCATAGTGTTTGGTCCAAACATGGACTTTGGATTCAGAAGGAATTGACTTTAGTGGGCTTGATCATTTAATAAGCATATCGTTAATTTGCTTTATTTCTCTAGGTTTGTTTTCTCATCTATAAAACTTGAATAATAGTTTGTGCCTTAAAGACATGTTATTGTAATTAGAGATAATATGCAAATTGCTTGGCTCTTTACCTGACCCTTGTGATGTGTTCAATAAACTATATTGTTCTCCGGGTTATTTGAAATCTGGAAATTCTGTAATTCTTTTTATAAATTTTTTTTTTAACATTTATTCCTTTTTGAGAGAGAGATAGAGTGCAAGTGGGGTAAGGGCAAAGAAAGAGGGAGACACAGAATCTGAAGCAGGCTCCAGGCTCTGAGCTGTCAGCACAGAGCCTGACACCGGGCTCAAACCCAAAAGTGGTGAGATCATGACCTGAGCTGAAGTTGGACGCTTGACTGACTGAGCCACCCAGGTGCCCGTATAATTCCTTTTTTTGATGATAACCTCATTTTCTCCCCTGCCTGATTGAACTAATTAAATCTGCACTCCCCCCCTTAAAAATTTCATCTCAACTTCTTTCCTACCCTGAGTTATTCTCATAAAGTTCACTTATAAATATGTTTTGCGCTTTGGTCTTATTTATTTATTTATTTTGGAGAACAGAATTATATATAGACATACTTTGTTTTATTGTGTTTGCAGATACGATTTTTCTTTTTCCAACAAATTAAAGGTTTGTGGCAACCCTGTGTTGTTGAACAAGTCTATTTGTGCCATTTTTCTAACAGTGTTTGCTCATTTTATGTGTCTGTGTCACATTTTGGTAATTCTCATAATATTTCATGTTTTTCATTATAAGTGTATTTGAATCACTGCAATCTCCTGGTAAAATTTAAACAGATGAGGATTTGCTTCTTATGAATGAACTTCTTTGCTTTTTTGCTTGAGATGTAATCTACTCCTGGTGAAGACGCCCTGAAAACCTCTGAAATGAAAAGAATTTAAAATATTACACAGGAGTGCCTGGCTGGCTCAGTTAGTGGACCATGCAACACTTGGTTTTGGGGTCGTGAGTTCAAGCCCTATGTTGGATGTAGAGGTCACTAAAAAAATAAATGAAGTCAAATAACATATTACATAAACTTAGTTGGTAAGGCAGTGGTAGGATTTGAGAGGAATGACTAATTTTGAAGTTCTGTGGGTAAAATGGTACCAAATAGCATCACATGCTATAGAGAAATCATTTGTGAAAGAAGAAGTCAATCGATGGGTCAGACTTCATGATCTTAAGAAATTGCCGCAGCCACCCCAGTCTTCAGCAATGACCACCCTGATCAGTCAGCAGCCATCAACAGCAACACAAACTCTCCCCCAGCAAAAAGATTTTGTTCGTCTTCATTTATAAACATGACTGACAACATAGGTTAATGCCTTTGAAAAGAAAAGTAGTGGTGCAGTTTCCCTAGGAATGAGAGGCAGGGACACAATGCAAGGCCACAGGAGGCACACCACATTTTGATCAGGAAGAAGCAGAAGAAGATGGAAGAGTCAGCCCTTTTTACAGCCTCTTTTGGGATTCAGGAGGGCCGTGGTGGAGGGGTGAAGGCAAGACAGTGCAGGGCAAACTGAGGAATGCCTGGTTTGGATAGTTTTGTCATACTCTTAAGCCCTAGGAATAGTTCCTAGGTACCTGGTACCTGGCCCTGGGAAGATTAAAGCAAGGGAGTGTTACCTCCTGGGGTGTCCAGGCTGGATAAAGAAAGTTGGTGGAGCCCTGAGAGCAGTTAGCTTGCATATCAAAGGCATGTTGCTGTCAGAGCTCTTTGCTATTCCTAAGAATTGTCCAGCCCTGAGAGGGTTAGTCTCTCCCCAGCCAGATCATTCATATTTTTAAGATGTAAAGACATCTTTCATAATAGAAAAATAAGTACACTTGCAAACACAAACATACAAGCAAAACATTTTCTGTAATTATCTTCTTTTGGCCTTTTCTTAAATAAGTCTCAATTTGAATTTTTGATTCCTACCCTCCCCAGTTCCCGCCATTTCCCCTACCGTCTTCTTCTCTAGTTCAGTTAATGGCATTGTCATCAACTCAGGTACCCTGGCCTGAAAACTGACACCCAACTTTGACTCCTCGCTTTTCTTTAGTCCATCAGAAACTCCTGTAGGTTCTGCTTCTGACCACATTCAACTCTCTCTAGTGTTACCTCCCCAGTCTGAGGCAGCATTGGTCTCACCTGGATCACTGCTGTCATTCTGTCCACACGGTACTTAAACTCTTGCCCCCTCAAGATAAAGTATAAATCAGCTCTTATCACTCCACTGGTGAAAGTTCTCCAAAGATTTCCCTGTTGCAGTTACAACAAATCGCAAATGTTTTACCTCAGCCTTCAGATGTGATCAGACTTGTGTCCATCTCTTTCCTCCATTTTCCTCATTCCTTTGTCCCAGTCATACCTGACCTCTCTCTCACTCTTGAGTATGCTGCTCTCGGTGCCACCTCAGGGCCTTTGCACTTATTTCCTGTTGTCCTAGAACTCTCTTCCTACATTTTTAGTGTAATGCTTCCTTTCATACCTCAAATACTCAAAGGTTACCTCCTGAGAGAGGTCTTTCCTGAACCTCCTGGAACTGCCCTCATGTTTTTCCTAAACTGTTTACTTTGTTTTCTTTATAACCGTACTAACTCAGCTTAATCTGAAATATTTGTTAATGTGTTTTTAATCTCATGCCACTAAGTTAGAATCTCTAGCATGATGTGCAACTATTTCTCTGGTTTATTACTGAATTTTCAGCATCTATAGTAGTGCCTACAAAATACATACCCAGTAGATATTTGTTGGATTACTAAAAAAATATATGAAATGTAACTGGAGACAAAAATCATAAAACCTATTGCATGTGTCATTAAGTCATAATATATGTAATATATAAATTTGTGTAACTAGCTCAGAGCATTAAAGCACTTTATTTTTTAGAGATGCCTGGGTGGCTCTGTTGGTTAAGCATCTGACTTTGGCTCAGGTTATGATCTCACCACTTGCGAGTTCGAGCCCCGCATCAGGCTCTGTGCTGACAACTCAGAGCCTGGAGCCCACTTCAGATTCTGTTTTTTCCTCTCTTGCTCTGCCCCTCCCCCACTCATGCTCTGTCTCTCTCTCTCTTTCTTAAGAATAAATAAAAACACATTTAAAAAATTTTTTAATACAAAAAATAAAAATTTTATGTTTTAATATTCATTAGGATTCTTCAAAAACATCAGCATGTCTTTTGTGAACAAATTGTATTATACCTTGTTTTAATTTTTTTGGAAATATTTTTTATTTTTGAGAGACAGAGAGAGAAGATCATGAGCTGGGGAGGGACAGAAAAAGAGGGAGACACAGAATCCAAAGCAGGCTCTAGGCTCTGAGCTGTCAGTACAGAGCCCAATGCAGGGTTTCGAACCCATGAACCGCAAGATCATGACCTGAACCAAAGTTGGATGCTTAACTGACTGAGCCATCCAGGCATCCCTATTATGCCTTGTTTTAAATATGAATTATATGACTATTTTCCTTAATGATGCTTTCAGTTTATTTCATTTGGGAATTGTTTTTATTTAATATTTGGATGATGTAAATATATCCATTTATTTATAAATATGAACATTCCTATCTTCCTATACTTGGCATAGAAAGTTGCCAAAGAAAGATTTCCTTGAATAGAAGAGGTCTAAAAAGTGGGCCCTGAGTTTTCCAGCAACTGATATAAGGAGAGAAATGCCACGTTTATGGGACTTGTGTTTCCTGTGAATTAAGAGTCAACCAGTTCTTTCAGAAATACTGAACTGTTCCTCACACTGAGGTCAGGGAGCAATGCCTCCAATCTCAATGGAAGGACAGGGTGTAACATGAAATGTGACCTCAGCACCTTCCTCTCAGTAATTACAGTGACATAGCTTGCTTTAAGAAGAATAAGTCAAAATAGGAGTCATGGGGGAAGTGAAAATCACCTCTGAGTTATGTGTGGCAAACTGATTTGAAACCATTAGGTATTTGTGTTGTTTTGTTTTGGATTTACTTTGACACAGCCACTTTTCAGAGAGGATGTGGGGAAAAAATCAGATTCACTCCATATATACCATGCTCTCCATACTACATCATAGGACAACAATTTCCACTATGTTGGAAGGAACTTGTCTATGTAAATAAAAGTGAGTATCAGGTCAGCTGAACTGCCAGCCCTCAGGGAATTCATTACTTTAATCACAAGCACAGTATAATTGCTCAGCCATAGTCTTTTACTCTGAGTTCAGCCTAACAATTAACCATGTGTGTGAATTAATGCCTAATATATCATATGCATGTATTGTGTATGTTGTAAGAAATACAATAGTGTATTTCATTATGATTACACTGATGTTTCTGATGTTTTAGCAAACCAATAAGAAAAAATATTTTCAATAATAAATCATTCCATTTCTCAGTTGTGCAGGACCTCTTCCTCCAAGGCTAGTCCCCACAAGCACTGATCAACCAATGAATGACATTGACAATAAACAAAGTCCTTGGATCCAGTACCTCATGCTCCTCTTGACTACAACTGCCAATTAAGTTCACCAAATACAGTACCTGATGACCCTCCAGAATGGAGTTCCCATTTTATACCTGGTAAGTTAAATCTCCAGAAAGAATCTCTCCACCCCTGTAGAAAATGACACTAAGAGTTAAGATGCTGATTTAATTAACTAATTCCTTTGTTGTTTCAATAAATAAATATTGAGCACCTACTGGATGTCAAATATATTACTACATGTCAAGTAGAGCATTCCTGCCTTTACAGTCTCCTGGAGTAAGAAGTTGTACAAACATTAATGGTATGCTCCATGCTGTTATAGAAATATGAAGAAAATATTGTAGGGACTCAGAAGACAGAGTAACTGACGGAGGAAGTCAAGTTTTATTGGCATGATAAGGAGTTTCTCAATCAAAAAATAGGTGGGGAAGGGAGAATGTCTGAGAGAAAGAAACACCTGTCCAAAAACACCAGGTCATGAAGGCCTAGTGATGTGGTTGAGGCTTGAGGAAGGCCTGCTGGGTCAAAAGGCACAAGTGCAGAGGTGGAGATGACTGTTTTCCAGTGTTGATTAAGTCGTTTGCATCTTATCCTGGAGCCTTTTAGAGACTGTAGATGCTTTTTAACAGGATATCAAGAATATTTTGGAGGGGAGGAAACAGAGAGGACACAAGTGAGTGAGGGGCATATAGAGAGGGGAAGAGAGAAAGAGAATCCACAAGGAGCAGAGAGAGAGAGGCAGCGTTCACCAGAAGTGGGGCTTGTATTCACCGGAAATAGGGCTTGAGTTCACCCAGTGTGGGCCTCAAACTCACCAACCGTGAAATCATGACCTCAGCTGAAGTCCAGTGCTTAACTGAGTCACCCAGGTGGGATATCAAGATTTCAGGGGCGCCAGTGTGGCTACATGGGTGAAGTGTCAGACTTCTGTTTAGGTCATGATCTCTTGATTAGTGGGTCCGAATCCCACATCAGGCTTCTGTGCTGACGGTGTGGAGCCTGCTTGGGATTCTCTCTCTCTTTGTCCCCTCTACATGCACGTTCTTTCTCTCTCTCTCAAAATAAATAAGTAAACTTAAAAAAAAAAATGACTTTCAAGGAAATACTTGAGTTTGTTTTTTCCTAGCTCCTGGCACATGGTCTGGTACATAAAGGGCACTCAATAAATGTCCAGTGAGTAACTGCTTGTATGTTTGATAAAATAGCTCTTGGGGTCAGTGTGAAGGAAACACTGGAACAGAGAGAAAGCAACAAAAGGGAAACTGGTTAAGAACTTATTACAGTAGTCCCTACTGGATGAGGCTTAGTAACAGTAAGTATGAATAAGACGCAAAAGTTCATAGTTTGAAAAAAAAGTAATCTACAAGATGAGTGCAAAGATGTTATTTCATTCCAGAAATAAGATCCTTGTTACTGCTGGGCAGGAGATCAGACTCCTTACTACGCCTGCACTGTTCCATCCTGGCTGAGGGAGGGGTATGGCATTACTGCTTCTTTTAAGAGATATTTGATAAAAGAAGCAAAACCTAAAGTCCTACATTGATGGTACCCTCCTACTAATTCATGATTTTGAGTGCTTCTCTTAAATATTGTGGCTCTTTAAAGAAAGCTGATTTCCTTGACTGTGACCTTGCTTACATTGACCAAGTTAGAATTTAACTGACCCCCTGTTGGAGGAAATCAGTGTGAGAACCAGATGGTGAGGATATAAAGAAGTGATGGGTTCAGCAACAATATAGCAGAGTCTTCAGATCACCATTTTGAAGTTAAGATGTGATTTCAAATACCAGTGTTACCACTTACTTTATCTATGTAAATTTAACATTAGTATAAAGAGTATAAAATAGAAATTTGTGTAGAGCTAACTTTAAGCAAGGCCCTGTACTAACCCTGCAGCAGCCTTATGAGATGGGCAGAGAGAGGCTATCAAATTTCCAGCTCTCTTCAACCGTAGTTTTTGCACTTAGGAAGTGAGCATAACTACCTCAGAAAGTTTAAGAGGATTAAATGTGTTAATTATCTGGAAGTCCCCCTACAACATTTGTATGTGGTATTCCCCTCCCTCAGAAAATGGGAGCTCTTACTCTTTCCAACAGGCAGTCATGTGACCCATGTAACATCCATGTAAAAATTTATGCTAAGTTTCAGTATATTGTAGTTAAAGTCATGTAATTTTTTTCATTTGTTTTTGAACACAAGGTCCCCAGGACCTACTGTCCCTCTGCTCTCATACTACCCAGGAGGCTTGCTTATGGGACATGGCTGTCTAAACCAGCAAAATGCCTTCCCCTTGTACCAGCCTGCTGGTGGCATCCATTCTTTACAGCACCAGCCTGGCAGATGTCCAGTGTTAAATGAGTCTGCTCCAAAAGCAAGGATGCCAGAGCCACTTCCTATGCCAACATGCCCTCCTGGTCTGGAAGACTTATAGCTCAGGTACTCTGCACAAATCCAAAATATTTTCTTATGAAATATGATGTTGAGGATCCAACAAAAAATAGATGCAGGGCTGGATAGAGTGGCTAAAGGTGGTGGGTCAGTGATGACAGGTCCAGTTTGTGAGGCTGTAGGAGTGGTGGTCCTGATTTCAGATATGCAAAGGGGAAGCATAAGTGCAGGAATATTTTTAGTGGGAAGGCTATAGTTTTCATAAAGGATTAAAGGTAAGTTGTAAGATATTTGAGATGTCCTCTTGAAGGAAATCAGAAAAATAGGAATAGGAATAGAAAAAAATCATCATAGATCCTAACTGGAGTGTCATTTAGTTGAAAGAGTAAACATCAAGAAAGGCAACATGAGGGGCACCTGGGTGAGTCAGTCGGTTAAGCGTCCGACTTCGGCTCAGGTCATGATCTCACAGCTCGTGAGTTCAAGCCCCACATCAGGCTCTGTGCTGGCAGGTCAGAGCCTGGAGCCTGCTTCAGATTCGTTTCCCTCTCTTTCTACCTGCTCGCATTCTATCTCTCTGAGAAATAAAATAAAAACCTTAAAAAATAAAGGCAACATGAAGGAACAGAATATTTAGTGACAAACTCATCAGGTGCCGTGGCCGCTTGCTTTTCCTCACCAGCCATAATTTCATCAGCTGCTCTAGCCCTCATAAAAACCTATTATTACCAAGTAAACATAAGATGCCTACCAAGCACTCAGAGCTTCAAGCCAAGTCATTGAGGCCTTCTCCCACAAAGTGGTGATCCCTTAAACCCCTTCTGTTTAAAACTTATGAAGCCATTTTGAAACCCAGGTCCTAAAGTTGAGGGATAAGCAGATTTGATTATAAGCTCAAAGAGTTTAAACTCAAAAAATGTATCTGGTGAAACTGAGATATAGCTAGTATTGGAAACTCTTCTATTATCCTGGCTCTTTTTGTTTTGGAAACAGGAGGTATCGAAGTTCATTATAAGCAAGGGACTCTAATTCTGTACTTCTCTCCCCACATAATCAATAAAATATTCCTTGAAGTTGACAACTTCCTTTCTGCAATTCTATATATTTAATCTTGTGCATTGGAAACTATTGATACAGTACTATGGGGATGATGTGCGAAATGTAGTAAAATTGGATTGAGAAATTGGAATTTATAGGAGCCAAAAATTTTATTAAACCGTCCCTTCGTAAAATAGCTATAAAATACATATGAAGTCATTAAAGTGCTAGAGTAAAACCCTTTATTATGTTAGATGCTTATTGAATGCTTCTCGTTAATACATTTTAGAAAATCTTTTTTATGCTTGCACAATAATATAAGAATTTGACCTTATAAGTCTGGGTCTCCTAGACCATTTCTCCTTCTTTTAAAATTGCACAGCTTTAAAATTCTTTATTAAACATAAAAAGTAAAAAGATGTGTTTAGATTCTTCCACTATCCACACAGAGGTTAAATGATAGATATGGTGGATTTACTTATCCCTTCCAGAAATGCACGAGTTAAAACACAAAACCAGAAACAAATACAAAAGAAAACAAGGTTTAGAGCCAGATAATGTAGTTTCTGACCCTGTAGTTTTATCACCCACTAGTTCTATAAACTTGAACAAATTTGTTAACAAGTTGATGTTTCAATTTCTTCTACAAAATACTACTGACTCTCTCTACCCTATTGGGCGGTTCTGGGAGTTGTCAGTGTGTGACAGAGTTCCTGGAACTGCTGAATGGGTGATGCAGTAATGATGCTATTTCGTTGAAATGCCTCCTTGGGTGTGAATGCAAGGCACATACCCAGTCATTTTGCTCTATTTTCCTGAGACTCTTGAGATCTCATATGAAATTATCAGGACTCCTCAGAGGAATTCTGTCCAGCACAGCAGGATTACATGGTTTTTGAGCCCGAAGTTTGCCAGTGACTCCCAAAAGAACTGCTCCTTAGTAGCCACAGTGTTTTGTCGGCAAACCTCTCATCTGAAAGGATTTCCTTTCTTTAGGTTATTTTGCCAACCAGTGGACATTTTATTAAAGAATGAATATTTTTTTATATTCTAGTCCTAAATTTTAAGATGCTGGAGTTTTTTTAAATAGGACTATAAATCATTTTGGTGGCCACTTTTGAAAAATTATAAGACATGTTTAGATCCCCTCACCTGTCTGTGTTTTCATACAGGAAAAAGTCTTAAATTAAGAATGGATTGTTTTCTCTCCCCTCCTGTAATTAACACAGTGTTAAACATTTATGTCCAGTTAACTCACTTTCAATTTTATTAATTTCAAAACCATTCATTAACACATTCAAAAGATATTTAAGGGAATATGGCAGTTCAGTCAATGTTCTGTGCTCAGAAGTTATGTGTATGACAGAAAATTGTGTAAGATAGGATCGATCTGTCTGCAAGGACATTTCTTCCTTTAGAAGGATTCAAGAATCTTGGGAGTAATCCCAAAGAAAAACTAAGGTGAGAAATCTGTCTAATGATAGTCTCCACTTTTCAGCATATTCTAGAATGTTTCTTGTCCCTTGTTCCCATCCTATTTATAAGCCTGTTAAGCTCCTGGACCCTCCCCCTATTACAAGCGAACACCTAGGGAAGAGCTTGATGTCTAGCAACTCAAGTGAACAGAGAAATCAGAATGTTCATCTGTCAGAGGTACCTTGAACTAATATAAAATTTGACAGTCCTGTGTGAGGTTCATGCTGGCTGATTCTTCTCCCTAAAGCTACTGAGAAAATAGCCCCCTCTGTGGCTGGTCCATGTTAAAGCATCCTGAACTTCCTGAGCCATTCCAGTCTGTAGGGGACATGTTAATGAGACCAGTGAGTAGGGACTGAGCTAGATACAATCTGTGTAAACACAGCTTTTTTCTAGATGATGTTAGTGTAGTAGAAGATGATTTTCTGAAATTTCATCAGAAACGTTATGAGATGTTTTAGTCTTCTAGAATAGAACTGGAAGAAAGCATCTTTCCTATATAGCCAGCTCTCCTTATATGTGATCAGGTACAAATAGGCTAATTCCACTTGATAAAATATATTTTTAAGTAATTGACATTGAAGATACTTTAAAAATTGATTGCTACATTTAATATATAAATCATCAATTTCTTCTCTCCTGGTAATTGTCTTAATGCTTTTGTTTCTATCTTTCCTAATTACTTTTTTCTATCTCAATTGTTGGACAACATACTCATTCTTCAGCATTTTGAATACCTGGAAAATATGTATTTTCAGTGGTGATCAACAATACTTGAATTAGCATTATTCCATATCTAGTTCCATCTTCATATTGATCATTTCTCAGTGTTTCAAAGAGAAAAGACTGTCCTAGAAACTAAAAAAGGGAATTTTTGTGTATAATTTTATTTGTTTATAAATTATATATTAGATTATAGATTGAAAAAGATCTTACATATTATCTGGTCAACCCCACTACACTTGTTCCCTCTTTCTGCCCCCATCATCACCTTTTATAGACAAGGGGAAAAAATAATAGAGAAACTAAAGGACTTAGTGAGGGACAAGCGAATCTGGATTTGCTGGAAAGAGGAAGAAATGAGCACAGTAAACATGAAATCTGTCCTCTGTTCATCAGTACAGTGTTCCTGACCCTGAAAGCAACAACTTTACACATTTGTTTGGCTATGATATAAGGCCTTCTTGGTTCCTTTTTCTATTCGCAGTTTGTAATGACCCTAATCATGTTAGCATAGTTCATGTGCTAAGTGATTTGTGATGCAGCGTATAATTTTATTAAAATATTTTCAAAATGTATTTATTTAAATACAAGTTAGTTAACATACAGTGTAGTACTGATCTCAGGAGTAGAACCTAGTAATTCATCACTTATATACAACAACCAGTGCTCATTCCAACAAGTGCCCTCCTTAATACTCATCACCCATTTATCCCATCCCCCCGCCCAGCTCCCCTCCAGGAACCCTCAGTATGTTCTCTGTTTTAAGAGTCTCTTCTGGTCTGTCTTTACTCTGTTTTTATCTTATTTTTCCCTTACCCTATGTTCATCTGTTTTGTTTCTTAAATTCCACATATGAGTGAAGTCATATGATATTTATCTTTCTCTGCCTGACTTATTTCACTTAGCATAATACACTCTAGTTCCACCACGTTGCAAATGACAAGATTTAATTCTTTTTGATCAGCAAGTAATTGTTCCATTGTGTGTGTTGTGTGTGCGTGCGTGTGTGTTTGTATGTGTATAAGACATCTTTATCCATTCATCAGTTGATAGACATTTGGACTCTTTCCATAATTTGGCTCTTGTTGACAGTGTTGCCATAAATATTGGGGATACATATGCCCCTTCGAATCAGCACTCCTGTATCTTTTGGATAAAAACCTACTAGTGCATTTACTGGGTCATGCAGTAGTCTATTTTTAATTTTTTGATGAACCTCCATACTGTTTTCCAGAGTCTGCATTCCCACTAACAGTACAAAAGGCTTCCTCTTTCTCTGCATCTTTGCCAACATCTGTTGTTTCCTGAGTTCTTAATTTTAGCCATTCTGACAGGGGTGAGGCAGTATCCCATTGTAGTTTTGATTTGTATTTCCCTGATGATGAGTGACTTGGAGCATCCTTTCATGTCTGATAGCTATTTGGATGTCTTCTTTGGAAAAGTGTCTATTCATGTCTTTTCCATTTCTTTATTAGATTATTGTTTTTTGGGTGTTGAGTTTGATAAGTTCTTTATAGATTTTAGATACTAACCCTTTATCTGATATGTCATTTGCAAATATCTTTTTCCATCCCTTCGGTTGCCTTTTAGTTTCCTTTACTGTGCAGAAGTCTTTTATCTTGAGGAGGTCCCTTGTCTTAGGAGACATGTCAGGTAAGAAGTTGCTGTGGCCAAGGTCAAAGAGTTTCCTGTATTCTCCTCTAGGATTTTGATGGCTTCCTGTCTTACATTTAGGTCTTTTATCCATTTTGAATTTATTTTTGTGCATGGTATGAGAAAGCGGTCCAGTTTTATTATCCTGCATGTTACTGTCCAGTTTTCCCAGCACCATTTACTAAAGAGATTGTCTTTTTTCTATTTGATACTCTTTCCTGCTTTGTTGAAGATTAGTTGGCCATACATTTATGAATCCATTTCTGGGCTCTCTGTTCTATTCTATTGATCTATGTCTGTTTTTGTGCCAGTACTATATGGTCTTGATGATTACAGCTTTGTAATAGCTTAAAGTTTTGCCTCTCTTTTTCACATTACATTGGCTATTAGGATTTATTCTGGTTCCATACAAATTTTAGGATTGTTTGTTCTAGCTCTGTGAAGAATGCTGGTGTTATTTTGATAGGGATAGCAATGAATGCATAGATTGCTTTGGAGTAGTATAGACATTTTAACAATATTTGTTCTTTCTATCCAGGAGCATAGAATATTTTTCCATTTTTTTGTGTCTTCTTAGTTTTCAGTGCATAGATCTTTTGCCTCTTTGGTTAGGTTTATTCCTGGGTATATTATGATTTTTGGTGCAGTTGTAAATGGAATAGATTCCTTGATTTCTCTTTCTGCCTCTTCATTACTAGTGTATAGAAGTGCAACCAATTTCTGTATGTTGATTTTATATTCTGCAACTTTGCTGAATTCAGGTATCAACAATTGCAGTTTTTTGGTGGAGTCTTTCGGGTTTTCCATATAGAGTACCATGCCATCTGCAAAGAGTAATAGTTTGACTTCTTTGTCAATTTGTACACCTTTTATTTGTGTTTGCTGTCTTATTTCCAAGGCTGGGACTTCTAGTAATATGATGGACAACAATGGTGACTGTGGACATCTTTGTCATGTTCCTGACGTTAGGGAGAAGGTCTCAGTTTTTCCCTATTAGGGATGATATTAGCTGTGGGCCTTTCATATATATATTTTATTATGTTGAGGTATGTTTCTTCTATTCCTACTTTCTTCAGGGTATTTATCAAGGAAGGATGCTGTATTTTGTCAAATGCTTTTTCTGTACATATTGACAGGATCATATGGTTCTTATCCTTTCTTTTATTAATGTAGTGTATCACACTGATTGAACCATTAATAAATCCCACTTGGCCATGGTGAATAATTCCTTTAATGTACTGTTGTATTTGATTTTCTATCTTGTGAATTTTTGCATTGAGTTTTATCAGGAATATTGATCTGTAATTCTCCTTTTAGTGGAGTCTCTGTCGGCTTTGGAATCAAGGTAATGCTGGCTTCATAGAATGAATTTGGAAACTTTCCTTCCATTTCTATTTTTTGGAACAGTTTGTGAAGAATAGATATTAACTCTGCTTTAAATGTCTGGTAGAATTCCTCTGGGAAGCCATCTGGCTTAGGACTCTTATTTGTTGGGAGATTTTTGATAACTGATTGAATTTCTTTGCTGGTTTGGGGTCCGTTCAAATTTTCCTTTTCTTCCTGGTTCAGCTTTGGTAGTGTGTGAGTGTCTAGGAATTTGTCCATTTCCATTTCTTCCAGATTGTCCAGTTTGTTGCCATAGAATTTTTCTTAGTATTAATATTGTTTGTATTTCTGTGGTATTGGTTGTGATCTCTCCTCTTTCATTCATGATCTTATCTATTTGTGTCCTCTTTTCTTTTTTGATAAGTCTGGCTGGGGGTTTATCAATTTTGTTTATTCCTTCAAAAAACCTGCTTTTAGTTTCATTGATCTGTTCTACTGTTTTTTGTTTGTTTCTTTCTATATTGTTTATTTCTGCTCTAATCTTTATTATTTCCCTTCTACTGGGATTGGCTTTCATTTGCTTCTCCTTTTCGAGCTTCTTTAGGTGTAAGGTTAGGGTGAATATTTGGGACCTTTCTTGCTTCTTGAGATTAGGCCTGAATTGCAGTGTACTTTCCTCTTAGGACTGCCTTCGCTGCATCCTGAAAGGTTTGGACTGTCATATTTTCATTTTCATTCGTGTCTATGTATGTTTTTATTTCTTCTTTAATTTCCTGGTTAACCATTCATTCTTTAGTGAGAGGTTCTTTAACTTCTTTGTATTTGAGGGCCTTCCAAATACTTGCTCATGGCTGAATTCGAGTTTCATAGTGTTGTGATCTGAAAATATGTATTGTATGATCTCAGTCATTTTGCACCTGTTGAGGGCTGACTTGTGACCCAGTCTATGATCTGTTCTGGAGAATGTTCCATGAGCACTTGAGAAGAATACATATTCTGCTGCTTTCAGGTGAACGTTCTCAGTATATCTGTGAAGTATATCCGGTCCAGTGTATCATTAGGAGCTGTTGTTTCCCTGTTGATTTTTCAATTAGATGGTCTGTCCATTGCTGTAAGTGTAGTATTAAAGTTTCTTACTATTATGGTATTATTACCCAGTAAGTCTCTTTATGTTTGTGATTAATTGCTTTATATACTTGGATGTTTCAAGTTGGGAGCATAAATATTTATAATTGTTAGATCTTGATGGATAGACCCCTTAATGATGACAATGCCCTTCCTCATTTCTTGGTACAATCTTTGTTTTAAAATCTAATTTGTCTAATGTAAATATAGCCACTCTGGCTTTCCTTTGACCTCCTTTAGCATGATAGATTGTTCTTCATTTAGGTAGGTAGGTAGGTAGATAGATAGGGGTTTTCCATCCCACCACTTTCAATCTGCTGGCGTCCTTAGATCTAAAATGAGTCTCTTGTAGGCAGCATATAGATAGATCTTGGTTTTTTTTATCCATTCTGCTACTGTATGTTTGATTGGAGCCTTTAGTCTGTTTACATTCAGATTGATTATTGAAAGAAGAATTTAGTGCCATTCTATTTTCTGTAGATTTGATGTTTCTGGTGATGATGTTTTCTGGTCCTTTGTAGTCTTTGCTGCTTTGGTCTTTTTTTTTTTTTTTCCTCCACACAGAAAGTCCCCCTTCAAATTTCATGTAAGACTGGTTTAGTGGTCATGAACTTCTTTAGTTTTTGCTTGTCTGGGAAAGTCTTTATCTCTCCTTCTATTCTGAATGACAGCCTTGCTGTATAAAGGATCTCAGCTTCATATTTTTCCTATTCAGCACAATGATTATTTCCTACTACTCTCTTCTGGCCTGTCAAGTTTCAGTGGATAGGTCTGCTACTAACCTTATGTGTCTTTCCTTGTTGGTTAAGGACCTTTTAGCTGCCATGAGAAATCTCTCTTTTTCCTTGTATTTTGTGAGTTTCATTATGATATGTTGTGGTATTAACCTGTTTTTGTTGATTTTAAGAGAGTTTTCTGTGCCTCTTGCACTTGGATGTGTGTTTCCTTCCCCAGATTAGGGACGTTCTCAGCTATACTTTGTTCAAATAAACCTTCTGGCCCTTTCTGGATTCTGCTTTTTTTTAGTACTCCTATGATATGGACATTGTTTCATTTCATGGAATCGCTTAGTTCTCTAAATGTCGCCTCATGATTTAGTAACTTCCTCTCCCTCTTATTCCATTTCATTATTTTCCATAATTTTATCTTCTATTTCACCTCTTCTCACCTCTGCTTCTTCATTCCATGCTGTCACTATAGTTTATTTTGCATCTCACTAAGCATTTTAAATTCATCCTGACATTAAAATACTTTTAAAACTTAAGTTTTCTGAATGCAAGTATTATAGAAAATATGATTATCTTATGAAAGATGATTTCAATCTTTCCTGTTATGTGAATAAACATTTTTAAATCATCTTGCTCTGAGCTTAAAATAAATGTTTTAAATCCCAAAGGATTTATTTTTTAATTTGTATTTACTTATGTAATCCTGTACTCAATGTGGGACTTGAACTCATGATCCTGAGATCAAGAGTCGCATGCTCCTCCAACTGAGCCAGCCAGATGCCCCTAAATCCCAAAAGATTTAAATTATTACAAGAGTTATAAAATATTTTGACGTTCTGATGAATTGCATATGCTTCAATGAAAATTTGAAAAGCTGTTTTTCTTTACATGTTAAGAAATACTATACAAATAATTGAAGCCCATTTTAACTGCCTCCAAGTTAAAGTGGATTTCTTGAGGCACCAGGGTGGCTCACTCGATTAAGCATCCGACTTTGGCTCAGGTCATGATCTTGCAGTTTGTGAGTTTGAGCCCTGCTTTGGGCTCTGTGCTGACAGCTCAGAGTCTGAAGCCTGCTTCAGATTCTATGACATCCTCTCTATCTGCCCTCCCCCCACTCATGCTCTTTCTGTGTCTCTGTCTCTGTCTCAAAAAATGAGTAAACATGAAAAAAATTAAAAATAAAATGGCTTTCTTCTTTAAATTTTTGTAATGACATCTCTTAAAACTGATAATGGATACAATATTAAGAACAACCTGGACCAGATGGTTTATGCCGTAAATGAAGACACAGACGACTTTACCAGAAATGCTTATCGGACACTAAGGCCCTTCGTCCTCCGAGTCACTGACTGTATGGGCCGAGAAATCATGACCATGCAGAGGCCTTTCAGATGCACCTGCTGTTGCTTCTGTTGTCCCTCCACCAGGCAAGAGGTCAGAGAGCACAGGTCTGAGCCCTTGTCTCTTCCTGGTCCAGCTCTTCACAGCATCCTTGCGCTCCTTCCAGAATGGCACACGAGGGGGTTTCACTGGCTCCGCTGGTCACAATGAAAGAAGAGAGTGGTGAGGGAGGGACGCCAGATTGTCTCCCCTGAGGGAAATCATAGAGGGATTTTTCTTGTGGACTCTTGTCTTCTGAAGCTAGCGGGGAGTCAGGCTCAAATTAGGGTTGTTTATTCGGTGACCACAATTCTATCGGTTGTGTCTACTGAATTAGAAATATGTCCGTTACACCTAGAAGAGAAGCCACACACATTTGTCTAAATGCACCCACACATCCGCAGGTAAGGTGTCCCTAGACATAACTGGATACTTTCAGAATTGGAAGACCCTTTAGGTAACTGTACACTGCCCATCCCAATCCACACCTTCTCACAGATAAAGAAAGGGTGGCTCAGAAAGATTAAGTGCTGATGCGGGTGTTACACTCCACCAAGTGCTGGAATAGAGAGCAGATGTTCCGAGTGACAGCCTGTGACAGCCAGCTTCCTCTTCTACAACCTGTGAGGCTCTAGGAAGGTTGTTTGCTGCAGGGACAGAGGTCACCCAGAAGTTTGAATTCTAGATAATGCCCTCTATTTATATTTGTATAATCTATTTCACTTCTTTGGGCCTTAGAGCTCCTGTACATAAGTATGCATAGTATCCCATGGGATTACTGGGATACATAAAGACACAGTATGTTAAGGACCAGCACTTACTGAGTGTTAGTTTATTTACAGTCCTCTCTGTGTTTTGATTTCCCATAAGATGGAGATAATAACGGTACTATCACGTAGGGTGGTTTTGAGGATTAAACAGTACATGAATGTTAACTGTTGTTACAGTACCTGGCAGATAGTACAGCGCTCAGAGAACGTTAGTTGTTGTTCCCAGCCATCTTCTGTCTCATTACTGTCTTTGTAATAACAGCCTTATATTTGAGATGAATCTTCATCTCTAATCCTCAATCCTTTTGAAGATACAAAGAATTCTTCTTCATATTTATGACTTTTTTTTCCCCTCAAATCCTATAAATGCAGCCTTCCATGATTAAAGTAAGCCATGATGTAGTAAGGCTAACCAAATTACAAACCTACTCAGCTTGTGGAACATTTATCCCATGACAGATGTTTTTTCTCATTTCTCCAATTTTACTTGTATTTCTGAGTGTGTGTGTGTGTGCGCGCGCGCGTGCGCGTGCATAAGCGCTCACGTGTCCATGCATGTGTTTTTAGTCCTGGGAGGTTTGATCACCTGTGTAGATTCCTTTGTCCACCACCACAATACAGATATCTGACAATTCCTTCACCACAAAAATCCTCTTCATAACCACACCCACTGTAGAATTAGAGAAGGACCTTAAGTCCTCCTCTGTATCCTGAAGGAAGGTATGGCCTCATCCCTTAAGATTGCTCCCTGCAAAGTCAATCCTGACAAATGGCCAAGGGAAAGAGCAGCCAAGGCCTTGCATTGTTGGCACGCATAGTAAGAAATATAGGAGTACGAGCGACGCACGGAGGACTGTCTTGCCCAGAATAATTTCCCTAGTCCTTGCAGGGCTTAGAGCACATCTCGGTGGTGGGTACATGTATGCATATCTATGTCATTTACTTCCCTGTGCACATTGGCAGCTGAGATGCAGTGTTCCTGGTGTCACTGCTGGCTTTGCTGTCCAGCCTGGAACCGTACAGAGTGGTTTACAGCATCCAAAGCAAGAAGAAAGAAAATGTGATGGGAGTGCATGGGCCACCTTCAACCCATGGCTGGGGTTCAGATTCTTCTTTTTAGGTAACATAATATTAAAATGTTTTTAGAGTGTTTTCTACATGGACAAACCAACCTCAGAATGATCTTGTTTCAGTATTCTTTTCTGTGTATGTGAAATGAGGTTTACAATATCACTTATAAATACAGCAATATGATGATATATTTATCAAATACTCCACTAGGTATTTAAGGAGACTCAAAGAGGGGCACCTGGGTGGCTCAGTCAGTTAAGCATCCGACTTCAGTTCAGGTCATGATCTCATGGTTCGTGGGTTCGAGCCCCGCGTCGGGCTCTGTCCTGACAGCTAGCTCAGAGCCTGGAGTCTGCTTCAGATTCTGTGTCTCCTTCTCTCTCTGACCCTCCCCGGCTCATGATATCTCTATCTCTCTCTCAAAAATAAATGAAACATTTAAAAAATTTAAGGAGACTCAAAGATGTAGAGCATAGTACTATGTCCCAAGTGTAAAATAAGCAAATACAGAATTATAGTGTGAAACTGGAAAAGGATGATTGATATAAAATAAGTGCAAATTTATCATTTTGCACTTATGTACCACATCATGGGACAGGTATCACCTAATCTTATTTTTTTAGAGACAAAGCTGAAATTCATCAGGAGTTAATAGTAAGGGTTTTGGGTGCTGAAGAATTTCTTCCCTCTGATGTAATTGGAATGAAAGGAGTTGGAAAGAGAGAGACACAAGAGCTCCTAGGCGAGGGGAAGCAGAACAGGTGGAATTAGCTGACACAGGAGCTGTAGAGATCATGAGTCTCAAAATCCCCAGCAGAAGCCTGGTGAGGCAGCCTGCTGTCCTAACCGTGTTCTCCCAGTTTCCCGAGTAGGCTGGTCGTCAGGGGCCACTGGTGTGTGTGGTGGGGGCAGGGGATGGTGCTGAGTCTGTGAAGACCACGATGCATCCACTCTTGAGGTAAACCCTGTCTTCAATGTACTCAACCATGTGTATATCTTAGAGGATTTTTCCATGGAACATTTTCTGGATTCTATGGAACCAAAATGTGTGTATATTAATATAACACATTTATAAGGCAAATGATTTGCACTGGAAATCTATATACAAGTATAACTTTTAAAAGAAACAAAAAATAAATAGCAGGTTCTAAACACATATTCTGTAATTAGCTAGCTTTATGGTGGTCCATCCAATTTTCTTTCAGTTCTTAGTTCTGTTGCTTCTCAACAAAGGAGCCAGTCATGTGAAGGCATAGAATTTTGTTATGTATAGTTTCTAGGTTTACCTCAAGATTTAATTCTAGGCCAGAAGAATATGCATCTACGTCAATTTAGAGAAGGAATATCTCAGTCTTGGAATAGTTGGGATAATGTAACCAGTAACCTATAGCAGCAATGACTGTGGTGTTATTAATGATGATAAAAGCAGCTGTCCTTTTTGGTGCTCCTTACCTTCTAGGCACAGCTCAGGTCCTGACTACTTTCCACATATATATTTTTCTCTTTTTTTTTTATTTTTAGAGAGAGAGAGAGAGAGACAGAGTGCAAGCAAAGGAGGTGCAGAGAGAGAATGAGACACAGGATCCGAAGCAGGCTCTAGGCTCAGAGCCTGATGCAGGGCTTCAACTCACAAACTGTGAGATCATGACCTGAGCTGAAGCCGGACGCTCAACCAACTGAGCCACCCAGGCGTCCCCTACTTTCCATGTATTAACTCATTTAATTCTTATAACAAACCTGTTAGATAGAAATTATGATAATACCTCTTTTAGCAGTAGCTGGGTGGCTCAGTTGGTTAAGCATCCAACTCTTAATTTCTGCTCTGTGCTGACAGAGTAGAGCCTACTTGGGATCCTCTTTCTCAATCTCTCTCTCTCTCTCTCTCTCTCTCTCCTCCTCTCCTTCCCCCATGTTCACCCTTCTCTCTCTCTCTCTGTCTGTCAATAAATAAATGAATATTTAAAAAAATATAATTCCCCTTTTAAGATGAGAAGACTGAGGTTAGATACCTTGTGCAAAGTCACTGACAAAACCGTTATTTGAACATGTCTCCAGAGGCGACACCCTTAAACCACTATGCCCTGTGTCTTCTTTCATCTGTGTGACATTTAGTTTCTTTATGTGTTAACACAGGAGATCAGAAATGGGAGAAAATAGTGGCAGGTTACTTCACATACTCTCAAGTTTAGAATCAGAGCTGGGAAGCCCTGGTGGCTCGGAGGACAGCTTGTCTGCGGGGGTGTCACCCTGACAGGTTTGCTCTTGCTTTTACTGGTATCCCAGTGATGTAAGCAATGGAGGACCATGTGTTATTCTTCCAGTTTGGTGTTTCCCAAGTCATGTGTGTATTTTGAATATAAACCCCAAAATGATGAGTACACATTTTGATTTATGAATTCTCAGTGAATAAATTTTCCCTGCCAACATCTCTGTGTAAGTATTGAAATCGCTATGTAAGCTTGAAAAAGAAATAAAAAATAGCAAGTTCTAAATACATGTTCTGTAATTAGGCAGTGTAATAGTTGTCTGTTAAATTTTCTTACAGTTCCTAGATTTGGCCCTGAGTGTCTCCCTTTGAGGGTTCCCACCTTATTGGAGATCTGTGATAGAGTACAAGACACCCATTGCTCAATCCCAAGGTCCCACCACTGCCCTGCTGTGATTGAGAAATCAGATCCCCTTCTTAAGGGGATTGGCACCTCTTAGAAGCCAAAGAACCTGTGTCAGCCTCTGTGTGATATGCAGGATTTTCAAATTTTTCCCTTTAGCCCCAGTCTCTAACTTTTCTAGAAGCTTGGCTTTGCGTGTCAGTAGATTTTAATTATACTTTCATCAGCACTTTCGGTTTTCACACTATCTACTTTGCAACCTTGCCAGAAATGGAAGTGGTAAAATTGTGAAAAAGGTGCACAATTATAGTGTCAAGATTATAGTGTCAAGAACATAAGACAGAATGTTCAAACATCAATGTAACAGTTAAAATAAGTTTCTTCGTGTGAATTATTAATGGTTGGCAATAGCTAAAAAGATACTCCTTTGTTTTCTACCTGAGATGATATATATGATGTCTCTGCCATGTGGAATTCATATGGAATTCCAGATCCTCTGAAAATGTTTCCATTAATATTTTACTAGATAAAGCCTCATTCAATTATTATAGTAACTGTTTTACAATCCAAGGCATGGAAAAATTTATCTTGGAAAAAATGCTGAAACCACGTTTTTCTTGAAAGTTTCAAGAACATTTGTGCTAACTTGTCTTAGCTAACAGTCACTGAATAGTATTTCTGTTTTGTTAAAGATAAAAGAGATTTAGAAAATAAACAATGTTAGAGACTTGTTTATGCAAGGATAGGGAGATGAGGGATGACATGGAGAATAATTAAAATGACAAAATACTTACTAGATTTATAAATTTATTGCTGCTAGTTGCCTTTTGCCTTCTTCACCATAAAACTGACTAAAACAGGGGCGCCTCGGTGGCTCAGTCAGTTAAGCGTCCAACTTCGGCTCAGGTCATGATCTCACAGTCCATGGGTTCAAGCCCCATGTCGGGCTCTGTGCTGACAACTCAGAGCCTGGAGCCTGCTTCAGATTCTGTGTCTCCCTCTCTCTCTGCCCACCCCCAACCCCCCGCTCGCTCTTTGTCTCTGTCTCTAAAAATAAAATAAAGACATAAAAAAAATTTTTTTAAATGACTAAAACAGGACTTACAAGGGGTTAGTACTAGCTTATAGCTTTCTTTATTAAAAAATACTTTCTTTCCATTGGATATTCTTTCCTGCTTTGTCAAAGATCAGTTGGCTGTATACTTTTGGGTCCACTTCTGAGTTCTCAATTCTGTTCCATTGGTCTATGTGTCTGTTTTTGTGGCAATACCATACTGTCTTGATGATGACAGCTTTGTAGTAGAGGCTAAAGTCTGGGATGGTGATCCCTCCCGTTTTGGTTTTATTTTTCAGGATTACTTTGGCTATTCGAGGTCTTTTGTGGTTCCATACAAATTTTTGGATAGTTTGTTCTAGTTTTGAGAAGTATGCTGGTGCAATTTTGATGGGAATTGCATTGAATGTGTAGAGTGCTTTAGGTAGTAATGACATCTTAACTATATTTATTCTTCCTATCCATGAGCATGGAATGTTTTTCCATTTCTTTGTGTCTTCTTCAATTTCCTTCATAAGTTTTCTATAGTTTTCATCATACAGATCTCTTGTATCCTTGTGAGCGAAATAAGTCAGGCAGAGAAGGACAAATATCATATGTGTGCACGTATAGGAGGACTAGGAGGAACTTAACAGAGGACCAATCGGGAGAAGAAGGGGGGAAATGGTGGGGGAAAGGGAGAGAGGCAAACCATGAGAGACTCTTGAATGCTGACAAAAACTGAGGACTGATGGATGTGGGGGAGAGGGGGGGTGGGCATGGAGGAGGGCACTTGTGGGGATGAGCACTGGGTGTTATGTGGAAACTAATTTGACAATAAACTATTTGTAAAAAAAAAATACTTTCTTTATTAAAATATACTCATTTTCATATATTGAACATTTCATATTTCAACATTCTCACGAACGTTACTGTGACCCTAAAACTGCTCTGGAAAATAAAGTCTATTAAAAATAAAATTCCTAGAGCCTCGTATGGATATAAATAAGCGAGGAGGAATCACCAGGAACTGCTGCAAACTGGAGACTATAGATGGCATCTAAAGAGGGAACTTTATGTATAGCATAAGTAGATTGAGTCATTGGAGTGAGGTTTACATGGACAGACTGCCAGTCTGGGTAGGCTAGGTTATGCTCTGGTGACAAACAACCCCAAAGTCTTGGTGTCTTATAAGAAAAATCATGCTTGTTCCTTTCTTTTTTTTAATATTTATTTTTGAGAGACAGAGAGAGTGCACGTGAGCATGCGTGTGTGTACACACACACAGAAACATACACACACACACACACACGTGAGAGTGCTAGAGTGGGGGAGGGGTAGAGAGAGAAGGAGACACAGAATCTGAAGCAGGCTCCAGGCTCTGCGCTGTCAGCACAGAGCAGACCA